GTTGTTGTTATATATATATATATATATATATATATATATATACACATATATATATATTCACCAACAAAAAAAATGGTTTTAAGCCAGTTATTTCTATCTTTTGCTGTAGTGTGTCAGTATTAATATCAGTTCACATTACTTTTGCCATTAATTGTAATAATCCAATGAGATTTTTGTTTGCACAAGGAGTCTGACAGCAGCCAGTGCTGAACACATAGATCTGGGGCAAGTTCAAGCTCAAACCGGTGCTCAACGTTTTGCTACGGTTTCCGGTTTGAACGACATGTTTCCTGGAAACGGTGTGCAACGGGGTTTGAGATACGTTTTCTCTTGTTTGGTGGGTGTGTCAAACAGTATCGGTGCATCCCTAGTCGCAAGTCATCAAATTTGGGACTCGAGTCCGAGTCGAGTCATGTGACTCGAGTCCACACCCCTGGTTCAACGCACCACCGTTTCCGTTTAAAACACGTTTTGCACCGTTTTGTCGGTTTGAACGCAGCCCTGATCTCACCATCATCAGTCTGTCTGCGATTACATGAAGAAACAGAACAAACTGAGACAGACTAAATCCAGAAGAACTGTGGCAACGTCTACAAAACACTTGAAGAAACACCTGCAAAGCTCCCTGAAAAACGATGGATCTCCTGTTTACTAGACCGGCGCTTTAACCAACTAAGCGCCACTAACATAACCGGAAAAATACGGCTCTTAAAGATTGTGACAATGTGCACATTTTGAATAATTAGTGGTTGATTTAGTAAAAACCTCCTCGTTTGGTCATTTATTCATTTAGCACACACCACTTTCTCTCCGTTTGGCGTTATTTTACTTTCATATTCTTACATAACCCAAACTTGACTACTATACTATATTCCACTGTAATATGCGGTTAACATGTGAAGAATAATAGAATACGAGGAAATATTTTAAAACATTTGTGAAACCCAGCCGGTGATTTGCATTTTCCAAGTGAAACAATTCCCGTTTTCTGGGTGGGAAGCGATATTCGCGTCGCGCGGCGATGACGTCAGAACCGGAAGTGCGTGCCGAACACGCGTGTTCCCTGCAGCTGTGAAGTAGACAGAAGTTCTGCTCGATGCTCGTAAGTTCAACTCAGCTGTCACGTAAATATGTAAAAACTGCCATAATATCACTCCAGTGACCACTGTTTTTCTCGATAGCTGTATTTATTTGGGATACTGAACATAGTTGGCTGTATTAGTGTTATTGCTAATACATTTCTGAAAACGAGTGGGCAGTTTTATGCTTGTTGTGTATGATAATATTGATTCACAGACTTTAGCAGACAATATTGACAATTTCAGCTTTTAAAAGAGCCTGAGGATGTCTCGTGGATACTGTCTCTCAGTGTTTGTTTTCGCCCTCATGAATAGCTGTTCGCCTGCAGTGGTCCGCGGATGGATGGATGCTGAAGATGATGGGCAGGTTGTGTTTTGCTCATAAGACTGCTCTGGCCCCTATGGTGCGGGTGGGCACTCTGCCCATGAGACTGCTGGCTCTGGACTATGGAGCAGATATTGTGTACTGTGAGGTGAGGATGGACATTTACACCCATGTCACATTTCAGTCCATCTGAATCCCATGCACTTGCTTTGAAATATACTAAATGTTAACTCGTGGCCCTTGTGCATTTCAGGAGCTGATTGACATCAAAATGGCCCAGTGTGAGAGAGTGGTAAACGGTACGTCAGTTTCTGCCGATTATATTATATATCTGAGCACGCTGTTATATAACATACAGGCACAATTTGATGACTTTAAACTTTCAGTCTGTTGAAATAATCCGTAAGTGATGCAAAATAGGACCAACTTACATGTTAATAAACCTTCATGTGTGTCTTCAGATGTTTTGGAGACGGTGGATTTTGTTGCTCCAGATGAGCGTGTGATGTTTCGCACCTGCAGTAAAGAGAAGGGCCGCGTGGTCTTTCAGATGGTCAGTATGAGAGCGTCCTGAACATTCATTCACTCACTCATTTATGGCATGGTGAGAGTTATATTCATGCGACTGAGTTATGTGCAGTGTTTAATACATCTGGGCATCTCTGATTGAGTATATGCCATGTTAGCAGCTTAATTTCTAAACAATAAGTGAGTTTGAGTTCTATGATTATTCATTTTAAAACCCAGTCTGATTCTGTTCAGGGAACGGCTGATCCGGAGAGAGCGCTGGTTGTGGCTAAGCTTGTGTGAGTTTGATTAATGCATTGTAGATCATGTATTACCTGTTGTTTTTCTCAAACAGCAGCTCTACAGTAAGTTAATACGCATTTAAACTTATGTTTAACGTGTGTGTTTTATCCTGAACAGGGAAAATGATGTGGCGGCTGTTGATGTGAATATGGGCTGTCCCAAAGAATACTCTACAAAGGTACGCTGACAATCCGTAAAATCATGAAAATCCTATTTAAAACTAGAAATAAACAATATGTTTTGAATCTGAATACCACAGTAGCATTGATCTAAAATAAAGAAGAAATGCTCTTCATTGTCGCGTTGAACTACAAAGACATTCCAGAATTCATGTTAAGCTTTCAATTTAACTTGTCATAATGATAACATAACTTGTTAAAATAAAAATGAAAAAAATTATTGCATTAGTAGTGTAGGATTATGAATGACTTTTATTATTATTATTATTATTATAGTTCTGCTGCTGTTATTTATACATTTTCCATTCATTTCACATAGGGAGGAATGGGTTCAGCTCTTCTCTCTGACCCTGAGAAAATTGAAGCTGTAAGTTTTCTTAGTTCTTTTTTTTTTCCCTATTTCAGTTTTATTAGTATAAGTATTATAAAGCCCTTTCTTTTTCACTCTTTATTTCTTAAAGGGATAGTTCACCCAAAAATGAAAATTTGATGTTTATCTGCTTACCCCACTTCTCTCTTGTAGATTCTAAGCACTCTTGTGAATGGAATTTCAAAACCTGTTACATGTAAAATCAGAATCCTTCCTACAGTAAGTGATATTTTTCTATGTATTTTTAAGTAATTTTCTAAGTAATTCATTACTTTGTGTAAAATTTTGAATGATTAAAAATACTTAATAAACCCTGATATGAATCACAGTCCTTACTGTTCCTAGTAACTAATGGATAATTTCACCTAATGCGCTCTCAGCTTGAGGACACAGTGAATTTAGTGAAGAGAATTGAAAAAACAGGAGTGGCAGCCATAGCGGTGCACGGCAGGTAAGTAGTTTTCTTTAAACATGTGGTTATGGATTGATTCTTGTTTTAAAGAACATCTTTATATTGTGTTGTCAGGATGAAAGAAGAGCGGCCACGGCATCCAGTCCACTGTGATTATATCCAGGCTGTGGCTGAGAGTGTGTCCATACCAGTCATCGCCAAGTCAGTCTGCATCTTACATTACATTTATCCCGCATTTACATATTTGTATCTGTGCAATAGAAACTGTAAATTTGACATTTAAATATGCAGTACAGTTGGTATTGTTGGTTAATGACATCTTTGTGTTTTTATTATTTGACCTTTTTTTTCCTCTGTTGGTTTGTGATTAGCGGAGGCTCTTCAGACATAGTGAAGACATTCGAGGACATCGAGAAGTTTCGAGCTGCTGCAGGAGCCTCGTCTGTCATGCTGGCTCGGGCCGCCATGTGGAACCCCTCCATCTTCCGCCAGCAGGGGGCGCTGTCTGTGGAGGAGGTGATGGAGGACTACATCAGATATGTGAGTGACACAACAGCTGCTTATTTCGGTCAGGCATGAATTGTTATGGAAACAATTATTACAAAAATCATAAATAATATATATTTTGTACAGGGATAATAAACTAGCTAACTGTAACATCATAAAAATAAAATGAAAACAATAATATTGTATGATTATTAGAATGTATGATTAAAAATATATATATGTATATTTAAAAGTAAATGTGTCAGATGACAAATTTTGTTAATAAATGTAATATGTTGTTTATGAGCCTTACTGAAGGTTTTTTCTTTATTCTTTTTCCTCCTATATTTACCTACAGGCTGTTCGTTATGACAATAACCCATTTAACACCAAATACTGCTTATGCCAGATGCTCAGAGACCGAGTCGAGTCTCCATTTGGAAAACGGTTGCATGCAGCTCAGACCAACGAAGAAATATGGTAATATCATGCATTGTACATGTGGGATTTTATTTTATGGTTTATTTGATGCACAAAACAGAAAACACACCGTATTTACTGTACTGTACTGGTCTGCTTATCTTTAATGATTGGAAATTTAATCCTTTACCATCTCTGAGTATCAACAGCTCCTTTGAAACACATTCAGCCACTATTACCCACCCTCTTAAAATCCATTTTATAGTTGTTTTCACTAGGTAACTTCGTGGAAGAATTAGATGTGCTGCTCTCAAACTTTCCTGAGGATGGTACTCCCCTAGTTATGCTTGGAGACTTCAACACCCATCTAGATATTTTTTGAGATGTACCTGTATGTGTGTGTATGTATATATGTATATATACACCTTGCTACGTGTACTGCGTTAGGCTAACCGAGACTTGTCATTTGCATTTATATATTGTTGCTCTTTTGTTAGTTTTGATTGCTTTTATTGTCCTCATTTGTAAGTCGCTTTGGATAACATTTTGTTTTCATAATATATGAGTGTGTACTCTTTATTTATGTATATATACATACAAACACATGCATGTATATATTTAAGAAAAATGTTATGTTTATATATTAAATACATTTATATATAATATAAAATATAAGAATAGAAATGTATATACATGTAAATATTTTCAAAATATATACTGTGTGTATATATATATATATATATTCATACATAAATATACACAGCACACATAAATATATTATGTAAACAAAAGCTTTTATTTTGGATGCAATTAATCGTTTGACAGCACTAATTTAAATATGACCTCGGCATGTTTTCATTGTTTCACTCCTTTGCATGTCTGTGTTTTGCATGTCTGTTTTGCAGTGAGGTGTTTGGAATGACTGACTTCTACAACAAGACCAAAGCTGAACTGGAGGCCAGAAAAGCTGCTCTGCAGACCAACGGCGATCAGACAGAGCAACCAACACATGAAGATGATCTCATCACAATGCCTGTCCGCTTCGAAAGGTGAATTGGCCCTTTGTGGCCCATTAAAATTGAAAGGACTCGTATCTTGTTCACATTTACTGTATTTATGCTTGTGTCTGTGTTCCCCAGGCGAGATTACCCTCCTCAGATCACACCAAAGATGTACCTGCTGGAATGGAGCCGCAAGGAAAAGCTTGATCAACCTGTATATGAGACGGTCAGTTCTCAACTGGGGCCTCGGCAAACTGGTCTCAAGACGACTTAAAATGATTTAACATAAGACAAAACTAGCATTAAAAACCACACACATTTTTTTTTTTTATATATATATTTTTTTGCATCTTTATATATTTTTAAATATAGAAATTATTTATTTATTTATTTTTCCATATCCAGTAAATCTTGATCAACTGGAAAAGTTTTGTGGCCTTGGAATATTAATATCAACCTATTAACCTCTGACAGACTTTTTAAACCGTTTGTTTACTTCTCAGGAACAGCGAACTCAAGATCGAGCTTTTCAGTCTACAGTTATCATTGACAATAAAAAGTACCGCTCTGCCCTGTGGTGAGTTTGGTTGTTGATGAAGTTACGTACACACTGTAGTAGTGCAGAGAGAATGACTGTACGGTATTTCTGTCTCCCGCCCTCCTCAGGGAGAAATCAAAGAAGTTTGCAGAGCAGGCCGCGGCTATAGTGTGTTTACGCACGCTCGGGCTTCCAGAGGGTCGAATCGGAGAGGAGCACAGCGGACTGGTAAATAAACGCAAGAGGGACGACAAGAAATGTGCAGCGCTAGATGACAGTGAGTCAGCAGCACGAAAGAGACACACAAGTGAAGTCCCACAGGAAGAGGAAGAGGAAATGATATGCAGGACGAAAGTTGTGAATGGTGTCTGTGGTCAGACCACACGTTAACATTGGCCAAAAACTCATCATCTGAGCTCGCTGTAACCGACATTTCATTCCTTTTCATTACAGTGCAAAGTGCAGTTTTATCTGACAAATAACAGTGCTCTTTGTAGTTGCCTTTAAGTTTGTTAAATTCAGTGTTCCCTTTTCAGGTGCCACCTCTGTCTTATTGCACACTAGTACTGGTTTGTAATTTGCTCTATGCGACTCATGGAGGTATAATGAGATTGTTTGTATTAAATACACTTTTAAAATAATTTTGACAGATTTCCACTCTTCTCCAGAAAGGGTGCATTGTATATCCAAATACTTACAGTACAAGGAAGTACCAGAGGTACCATAACATGTCATGAAACTTTATTTATTTTAAGTATTTCTTTCTTTCTTTCTTTCTTTCCAGCATTATTGCAAAATAAACCAGTTTAACTGTTTACTTAACTTGTTTTTTCTCCATGTACAGTACAAGGAAATCTTCAGTGACTCACAAATGTCAAAACCTTGTAAGTTGCATAACTAGACAGCATTTTGGGTATTATTATGCACAAATGATGACCAAAAATGCTGTATAGCCTATGTAGGCAGCCCTTTATTTAAAAAAATATATATATAATAGTAATAATAATGGTGAAGGTTTCCGCCAAAACGGCCTCTAATAATAACGAGAAACTTAGACAAACCCTTGTCTAAAACCGGACGAACAGAAAATGTGGTGTAACAGTTACTCTAACAAAATTATTATGCACAAATGATGACCAAAAATGCTGTATAGCCTATGTAGGCAGCCCTTTATTTAAAAAAAAAAAATAATAATAATAATGGTGAAGGTTTCCGCCAAAACGGCCTCTAATAATAACGAGAAACTTAGACAAACCCTTGTCTAAAACCGGACGAACAGAAAATGTGGTGTAACAGTTACTCTAACAAAGTAGGTGTTGTTTTGATGAGACGTTTTGAATAAAATACCATATTTTTGTTGTTTATTTTGCAGTATTAGCATGAACTGTAATGACAATTATTTAAGCAGAAACTGCTGAAAAAAAAATTTTTTTAAGGGTGCTTAATATGTTTTGAGCCACAATATTATGACCTTGCAAACTAACTGTGTATTAACCGGAATATTCTGATAATCTCTCTCTCTCTCTCTCACTCACTCTCACGCTCTGTCTCACTCACGCTCACGCTCTCTCTCTCTCGCTCTCTCTCTCTCTCTCAATTCAATTCAAATGAGCTTTATTGGCATGACTGTGGAACAGCACAATGTTGCCAAAGCAATAAACAGCGAACAAGTTGTACAGGGCTGTAAACGTATTTGTGATGTTGATGTTGATGATTGCTTGCTATTTTATATATAAGTGTTAATATTTATTTATTGATTTAATGGTTTATTTTTTATTTTTTATTTATTTATTTATTTTTCTTTAAATAATTTAAATATATGTATGTTAGAATTGTTGTTATTATTATTATTAAAAAAAAAAAAAAAAGAAGATATAGGTCATTACGTCTTTATTGAACTAATAAAGAAGACCTAAAGTCAAGTCTCTCTCTCTCTCTCAGGGGGCTGTTTCATAAAACGGGTTTACCAAATTTAATTTAAAATGGACTTATTGTCACTTGATTTGGTTTCAGAAAGCTCAAGCTCAGTCACTCTGGCAGCTTATGCTGGGAAACTAGCCTGGTCCGGAGCAGGCTCACTGTCAGGCTAAACTGAGCTCCTCTAACACTGACCAATAGAAACACATTGATATCACCACTGACTCTCTCACATACTATTACTTGACGTTTTCAGTCCAAAAATAAAAGTATACAGAAAATGCAAATTAAATAAATCAAATAAATAAAAATATAGGCTACAACCGACTGTATTTAATGTATTGCGCCCAAGATTTAATGACTTAGTTTTAAGATATTTGGACACATTTTAACATGCTGCTACATGTGCATTCAGTTGATCAGCAGTTTCTAGCCATGCAGCCTTTCTCTCTGGTTTTACGACAGCTGTGCTTTATGGTTATTAGTAGAACATTAAAACATTACAATATAAAATTGCTCTTTAAAGCATTAAAAACACTAAATTAAAAGGTAAAATCACTAAATAAAAAATTAAAATAAATAATAGAAAACTGACTACATTTTTTAACTAATAAGAGGAATACACATAAACTCATTTGAGCGAGTAATTACGGTTGTATTAGCTTACTTTTGATGAGCTGAGAGCCTTTCCTCCTGCGTGTGATTGCTGAGCTTATGTGTTTGTGAGAGCCTGCAGTCTTGAATTTGTGCTACTAAGTGTTTCTTTAGTTAACTAAACGCTGATCTGTTTATCATTTGAACTGTACTGTTGAATGCTTTCTTTTTTGTGGAAGTCTCACTCTCTCTCTCTCTCTCTCTCACGCTCTCTCTCGCTCTCTCTCGCTCTCTCGCTCTCTCTCTCTCTCTCTCTGCGAGGGTTTGCAGTCTGTCAGATGTCTGTCTGGAGTCGCGGGGTGAAATGTAACTTTACTCCATCCATCTACATGTGCGCGAGACTTCAGATCAACACCGAACCCAGCATGGGATTATTAAACGCAGCGGGAAGTCAACAAAGTCCGAGAAGAAACAACATCAAAGGCTCGGTCTAACCAACTTCTGAGAGGAAAAAAGGACGTTTTGGACCGTGTGTTCCGGGTTTTCGCGCTGACACCATCTCGTTATGTCAACCAAAGTGACTCTTGTAGAAAGTTATTGAGTGTTATTGCGTTTGCGCACGCATGGACTTGTTTGTTTTTGTAATTTAATAGAACGAAGTAGAGCTGAGGTCTCTAATGCAATGACTACTAACTACAGAGAGGAGCTGGACTTCAGACTGATGTTCGGGGAGAGCAGTTACACTCAGCTGCTGGGCCACCCAGGTTTGTACGTTACTTTCAGGGTGCGTGCAAGCGCGCGCGGTTAAAATGGGAGCGATGAAGTTGCGTGTCTGCGTCGAGAATGCTTTGCAGAAGTGGCCATGTTTGGATCTGTTATGAATAATTGAAACTATTTGTGTTTCTAAATACTAAAAGTCACTTCCTTATCTTGCAAGATCTACTGCAGTAGTTCGTGTAGTTGACGCGCATAAAGAGGAAGGTCAAAGTCTAATCATGCGAAACATCTTTTTAAAACGTATGCATACATTTACTGTGTGCATGAGAATAGTTTCGCAGTTTTCGTGGATGGTACACAAATAACAGCAGTAGAACTAAAACTGCTGTGATTGGTTTTGTATAGGCCTATATTATTTAATAGTATTGTTGTTGTTGTTGTTATTATTGGCAAAGTCCCAAGTTATACTGTCCACTGTAATCCTTCTTCCTCCATCTGTAGGTAAACCTGACTGATATCATGGTTAAACTCACAGTAAATCACCTGTCAAGTTTTTATTGCTGGACATTTGACTGTTGAAGCTTGAGTGCATTGAGGATCTATAACATTATATTAGACTGATAGTGTTATCAGTGTGACAGCATCCCTAGCTCGTGTGTCTGTATGTGAGAGAGAGAGTGTGTGTGTGTGTGTGTGTGTGTGATATTTATGGTTAGCTACTGTTGCACTTCTGGCAGCTGTCTGTTTGCTCGTGTGTCTGAATGAGCCATAAGAGCATCTCTTGAAATGTATTTGCTCAAGTACCAACAGTATGCCAAGGACGTAACCTATGCGGCCTCACTTTGGTGGAGATTTCTGGTAAAGATTTCTTCACGCTCTTGGGAACATCATTTCTTTGGTTTGTTGTTTGTGTGAAGGATTATTTATCAAATTAGTACATTTTGCAGTACGACGTCACTGACATAACAGCTTACTGGATTGTATTTGTCTCCTAAAAAATCAATCAAAAATAACATGTACACGATTCATCAGTGCACATTATCACGGGGGGAAAAAAATCATAATCTTTCAAGTAGCTTCATCTCGTGTGTAGTCACAGTAGACTACAGGATAAGGTTAACCAAGGTGGACACCACTGACTTGATGGCCAGTCATTTGGCACAAAGGAAAACTTCACAGAGTAGGGGAGTCTGGAGTTGGAGGAGTTCTTATCTCCTCTGCAGATCACTATGGCGTATGTCCTAATATAATAAGCCATTTTAGAAATACAAGCAACTCCCAACGGACAAAAGCAAGCCACACCTCATTATAAAAATGAGGGGAAATAAATCACTTTATGTAAACGGAGTCTGTGCCCATCATGTACTACGTGACTTCTTGTAAAACAAAATAGATAATGTCCAGACTGCAAATCAAGGCAAAAGTTTGTAGTGTATTCCCACTTTAAGTAAAATGACATATGGCATGAGCCAGGATAGGCATATTAAGTGGTCTTGTGTTAAAAATAACCTTTTCCCTGTTACTCTAGAATCCAGATCGGATGATGATGCCACCTGCTACCCTCTCTTTCCTCCTGGGCCTCACCATCCCACAGAACAGCAGGAGAGCTGTACAAACCCATCTTATGGCACCCCTCACCCTGGTTCCCTCCAGCCCATGGAGTCTCCCAGCCGGGTATTTGACTGTCCTAGCATCCAAATCACCTCTATCCCAGCCAACTGCCACCAGGACCTGGGCGCGCACCAGTTGGACCAGTCTGCAGGTGCTTGTGGGGAAGCCAGTGCTGGGTCTCTATCAAGGGACCAGCTCTTCCTGCCATTGGATGCATCGTACAGGGACACGTCCTCACTGTGTCCCAGCCCCTGCAGTAGTTTGTCCTCCCGCAGCTGGTTGTCTGACGCCTCATCCTGTGAATCCTTCTCACACATCTACGATGACGTGGAGGCAGAATTGAATGAGGCAGCCGCTCAAGTTCGGCTGGCTTCTCCTCTAGTGTCGCCGCTGGCGTCTCCTCTGCCGTCCCCACTTACTTCTCCCCAGGCGTCTCCTCAAGTGTCTCCGCTTGTCTCTCCCTTTGGTTCTCCGGGATGTATGGCTGCATATGGAGATGATCCTTGGTACCGTTACCAACAACATCATCAGCAACCTCTACAATATCATTGCGCCCAATCGCTGTCGCCGTATCAGTCACCCCGCACCAGCATCACTGAGGAAACGTGGCTCAGTCCCCGTCCACACTCCTCATCCTCGCGGCCCTCTTCTCGGCCAACCTCGCCATGTGGAAAAAGGCGACATTCCAGTGCAGAGGTCATTCCCGGTTTGGCATCTCCTCACCTTTCCCCCAACATAACACCATCTCATTCTCCTCGGGAGAGTGTCACTGAGGAGACATGGATGGGAGGCGCCACATTTGCTCCCTACCAGACCTTTCCATTGGAGGTAGACATCCCATCCAAAACAAGAAGAACGTATCAGACCAACCACAACCAGGATCAAGTGGCTCTGTTGCCTGGACAAGAGGACTCAAGTTTTCAAGACCCAGGTCTTGCAAATCCATCGCTAAACTCAGGCATAACCATGTTCCTCCCCAGTTTAAAGAAAGAGGATATGGTGGAACATTTTTTAGCCGTCCCAACACACTTCCCTTGGGTTAAACCCAAACAAGTCAGCACTCCTTTATACAGGTAAATTGCATGTACATATAGGACCCAATTGCTCACCTTTTGGTTTTGAACAAGTGCCGGTTACATAATAGTTTTTGGCCTTGTTGTTCCATCATTTATGAACCTGTTAGGGCTATAACAATGGGTGTCCTGTTTCACTGGCCAGTGCTCAAATACAACAGCCACACTTGTTACAGCCACTGCTGTTTCTTTTTCTTACTCAGGTCCACATCTTTACCTCCACTGGACTGCCATCTGCCCAGTCAGTGTGGCCAGTGTGAGTTAAAGATGGAGATCCAACCTAAACCTCACCACAGAGCCCATTATGAGACGGAGGGCAGTCGCGGGGCCATTAAATCAGACTGCGGAAGACACCCTGTTGTTAAGGTCAGCGTTTGCACCAGATCTCAGATTAGCCTGTTATGAAATCCCCCACAGTTGAAGAAGGTTCGTCTGAAAAATGGGAGTGAAAAACCTGTTTGGAAACAGTAATTTTTGCTATTCCATTTGGTGGTGCCACTAGTGAATTGTAAATGGAATTTCTTACATGTGATTTATTGATCATGATTAATTATTGATGGAGTATTTCATCCATCATTACCTACTTTTCTATGTCGTTTTTGTTCATCACACAGCGCACCGACTGTAGAGTGCACATTTTGTTCATTGAACTTGCACAGCAGTTTTCATTGTTCTGATAAATTGAGAAAGGTTAGGTTCCATACCTAAAGGTTTGTTGCTCATCTGACATCTGCTCTAGCACAAGACAAAAGTACCAGATTATTGTTCGGGTGTATTTAATTATTTATATTGATATTATAATATTAATTTGTATGGGATTGGATAGTTTAGATATTACTGGATTAATAATACTTGAATTTACCTATGAGAGAAGGAGAGCTATATCAGCCAGTCTTATGGACAGAATTTTTGATCCAGTCAGCTTGTGGTATTTTTAACAGGGCGCAAGCTAATGTTACATGTGTTGGTCTGTTTGTTTACCCTAGCTACCTATGACACAAATGGCAGACAATTTTTTGCCATTAAAGGAGCTTCTCAGAGATAATAGCATGTAAAACTAGAAAGGGAAAGTTAGTCGACACAATCTTTGAATGTTGGTGTGAAATGTTGGCCTGATATGAGCTAATTTGAATACTTAAGAGCTATAGAGCATTGAAACTGTGATGGATAGGCAGATGCATCTAGGAACGATTCATTTGGAATCACCAGCTGTCTGTTTACCCATATAATTTCTTCTTGCATCTGTAGCTAATAGGTTATAATGAAAAACCCGTCAGCCTGCAGATGTTCATCGGGACAGCGGATGAGCGTTACACCAGGCCACACCCATTCTATCAAGTGCACAGGATTACTGGGAAAACCGTAGCGACGCCGAGTCAAGAGACAGTGATATCCAGCACCAAAGTTCTCGAAATTCCTCTCCTGCCTGAAAACAACATGTGTACCAGGTACCTGTCAAACAAACCTCTGATTTACATGCACCCAGCCCTGCATGCATTGTAGAGAGAGCTTTTTTTGCATAAATGATGTATTGACATGGCTGACAGTTTAGTCTTTATATCAAGAAGATGGCAGCTCTGAATGGAAAACATGTGAAATTCAGAACCGTTTTAAAGGTACAATCGGTATTTTTCCCCCTTCATTTTTTGATTTACACTCTAGTTAGAACCCTAATTAAAGCTGATTTATTTTACATGGAGTGAATTACATTGTAGAAACCGACTTGAGATCACATAAATAATTTTATCTTGGTACCCACATTATTATCTGACATTTTTGCTAATGGAATAAGTTAATCATAGGTGAGAATATAACAATGGCTACAATGGCTTTGGTAATAAACAAAAACTACTGCTTTTGCGTGATGATACATCCACCCACTCCCATACCGGCCAGGCTTTTAATAGAAACTTTTCCATATGTCGATGCTACTGACTAAATGCAGGTCTCATGAATATACAAAGTGAAATGACTTAAATGGGATTTACAGCTAATAGTTAAAAGTTGCTCCGGGCCACTGTCAGCACAGTTTATGTCACTCTTTGGTTTCATTTCCATAGATAACTGCAGTTTTATTAAATAAACAGAGTTTAACTGACTGTAATATTTAATGGTTGCCTTTTATCATGTTTCCTTGAAAGCATTGACTGTGCTGGGATCCTGAAGCTACGGAATTCAGACATCGAGTTGCGGAAAGGAGAGACGGATATCGGGCGTAAAAACACACGTGTGCGTGCTGTGTTCCGTGTTCATATCCCTCAACACAATGGAAAAGTGCTGTCACTGCAGGTGGCGTCCATGCCTATAGAATGCTGTGAGTTCTTTTCTGTGTAAACGATTTTGGTGGAGCATTTTTTGGATACAAAGTGTACAGGTGCATCTCAATAAATTAGAATGTCGTGGAAAAGTTCATTTATTTCAGTAATTCAACTCAAATTGTGAAACTCGTGCCCTGTGAAGATGATGTCATTACAATTATTTGTCCATTTCCTCATAAGAACAAATATTATATATTTTACAGAGAACTTTTACATATTTAAAATAGCTTTAAATAATTTTCATTCAGCTAAAAAAAAAGCATTTTGTCAACTTTTACACACATTACATACAGATAGGACAATGGCATTGATGATGATGAAAACATAGAGCTAACAGACTTTGACAGCTAAAAGCCACAAAACTCCAATTTTTAATTCTGAAAGCGTTATCAAGCCATACTGATAAACATTTCCTCAGCAATTGACAGCCATTTTCTTTCTATGTTGACTAGCTCAACGATTATCTCAGGAACTTCCCCAAATCGAGAGCTTTAGTCCCGCCTGTGGTTCTGTGAATGGAGGAGAAGAGATGCTTATAACAGGCCAAAACATCAATCCAGAGTCAACAGTTGTCTTCCAAGAAAAGAGCTCTGGTACGTTAAATAATATTTTACAATATCTATTCTCACAGCTAGTTTATCTTCTGTAATTAGGAGCTGTTATTAGATCAGTAGTCTTGCAATACATTTTGGATGACAGTTTATGTAATAACAAAAGAGCCTTTGTATTGCCTTTTTTTCCATTCCAGATGGTAAAACACAATGGGAGGTCGATGTGAGGGCTTTACAAGAAAAGAGTCAAAATGTAAACACCGTATGTTATCGATTTTGTAATAAAACACTGAAATCCCTCAAATTCTTTTAACAGCATAACGTATGTGCTTCACACTTCCCATTGAGATCTGTTATTACAGGTGTCTCTGAAGTTTTCTTGTGTTCCCATTCCTGTTTAGACAAGCATAGTGGTAAAGATTCCTCCGTACTACAAGAAAACCACGGCTTCCTCCACCCAGGTGCAGTTCTACGTTAGCAATGGCAAGAGGAAGAGAAGTGCCTCACAGTTCTTCACCTATCTTTCAGGTAATAGTCCTTCTTACGAGTAACACTGTCAGCAAGCTCGGTCCACTTAGGTGCCGAGAACTGACAGTTAGACAGCAAGAGGTATTCTGAGTAATACATCAACTACAGTTAAAAATATGGTAATGTAGATGATGCAACAGTATCAAACTGGTTCAACAAGACTTTTCAATAATGAATAGTCTTTAGGAATGTTTGTACAGTCTACCCAGAAGCAATTAGTAGAAAATGTATGTAGATCCAGAATATATGTTTGTCTTAAAGAAATAAGTCCTGATAATGGTTACTGACACAACTCAGAGTGATGAAGGATATCCTGTTTCCACCTGGCATTAAGATGCATCAGCACTAACGGTGTAAAAGAAAGATGTAAAACATTTGATCTGATCACTGAAACCACCAATGGAAGTAGTCAAAAACGCACATGATCGCATTGCATTTGTAGTACTGCAGAAACGCTGTCTGTCCAGACCACAGTGAAGTACCTAAAATGTGTTCATCCTGGGACTTGTTGTGAGAAAGCTCCCCAAAACAAGCAATTCAAAGTTAGCTGCATTGTACCAAAACATTGGTCATCCAGTAGTATTTGTGCGTTGTACCTGGCAAAAAAACACCTCATGCGAGCGTAAAAACTTTTTTGCGATATATGGGCGTTTTTGCGAAATTGACGCGTTTCCATTAGGCATATTTTCAATTTGCGCAATTTGAAGGGTAATGGAAACGTGCCTGAGTAATAAAATAAGAGGTGAGTGTCTCCTTGGAATCTGAAAACAAGTGATCAAAGGAGACGCATGGTAATACCAGGTGGAAATGCTAAAGCATCTCGGCTGACCACTTATGATCGGATCATCTTAATAATAGTCTCAAACCAAACTCAAAACATCAAAGAGACAAGTCAATGTCCTGTGTAGCATTCATTGTAGCAGCCTGGCAACTGGTAAAAATTACCATTTATAAGCGATCCAGTGGGTATAGAAAAGAATCACCCCCTTTTAAAATAATCACATTTTGTTGCTTTGCAGCCTGAAATGAAGATGGACACAGTTTAGTTTTATCCAGCTGTATTTACTCAGTGCAACTTATAACATCCAAGTGAAAGATATAACACCAACATGTCTGAAAAAATAAACAAACAGAATCACTGAATTGGAAAAAGGATCTCTCCCCCCCTCCTAAAAACCAACAAAACTGTGTCCGTCTTAATTTCAGGCTGCAAAGCAACAAAATGTGATTATTTTTAAGGGGCGTGATTGTTGTCTATACCCACTGTAAGTGTGTGTTCACTGACTTTCAGAATCTGCGTAGAGCAGGGGTAGCCAACTCTGTATCTGGAAGGCTGCCATCCTGCAGAGTTCAGCTCCAGCCCTAATCAAACACACCAGAAGCAGTCGAGGTGTTTATAAATAACAGGGTTGAAACTGAAGGTCTGCAGTAAGGTGGCCCTCCATGAGCAGGGTGGCTACCAGTGTAGAGGCTGACCCAGGGGTGTCCAAACTTGTTCCTGGAGGGACAACGTCCCGCAGAGTTTAGCTCCAACCCTAATTAAATACACCTGAACCATCTAATCAAGGTCTTTAGACTCACTAGAACCTTCCAGGCAAGTGTGTTTAAGCTGGTCGGAGCTAAACTCTGCAGGACGTTGGCCCTGGGCTAACCGATCTTGTAACTTGTAGTTTGGGAGATTGGATTTGTTTGTGTGTATAATGCACCATGTGGTCTGAGATCACTGTAGAACTGGACTGATTTAGGTCTCAACTGGTCAAGATGGTATATCAATTTTCAAATGTTTTCAGAAGAAATGCTCATAAAGCTAATCTGTAATGTGCTGAACATCCTCCTTCCAAGCAGTGCAGGTGAAGCAGGAGTTTGGCTTAAGGGCGGACCTTAACACCAATGAACTTGGAGGGCAGCATCCGACCACCTCCCCAGCAGGTCTCTTCACCACCAGAGACCCGCTTGCGTCAGATGAGGTCCAGCCTCTTGAGCAGTGGCTGCTGTCTGAAGGGACAGTTTGTGCTCCATCTTCCACCCATCTCAGTTACTCCCCTCAGGATCCTTTCTATCTGAGCCGCTCTCATCCAGCAGAAAGAAGCCTTAATGCTGAAGCAGACCTCCACCCTATGTTCCACCCATCATTGGTGGATTTCAACAACTCTTTCTACCAAAAGCCTCAACAGGATCTGTCTTACAAAGAACAACCTAGTCTTCCAATGGTTGGTGGCTCACTGCAAGGCTGCAAGTCATCCCAAATCTTAGCAGAGCAACCAAGGTCTCAACTAGGCAAAGGATACCAAGGCATACCTACAGAACACAGTCAAAATCTCCACAACCTTGGTCCTGTCTCTGTGTCCAATACATCCGTGCTAACTAGCCCAAATGTGGATACATCCGGTCTGCACACTGTGGATCCTGTGCAATTCCCACAGGCTCCGTCTTCCCAGGTGCTTCCTCTTTCCCATCAGCCTACTCTTGCAAAAGTGCCTTCTAACTCACCGTCCATCAGCGAGAGCTTGATGGACCCTCAGCCTTTAGGTGCATCTCTTCAGGAGCCCAGCAAAAGTTACAGTATGTCACAAGATGGAGAACACCTTCACATTAAACAGGAACCCGAGGAAGAGAAAGAGCTAGCCTTTCAGTCCATAGGCCTGCAGGATATCACTCTTGATGATGGTAAGACTCCAAGGAGAACCATTTTAAAGCAATGAAGTTAAGTGGACAGTGTTGATTACCACAGAAATGAATTGTGACAAGCAAAACTAGTCTATAGGGCAAGTGATTCCCTAAAATAAACAATAACATAACACTTTTTCAAAGGTCTAGCCACAATAATTAATAGTAAGTCTTGTTCTAAATCACCCGAAACCGTAATCCCAATACTAAAAACAAGATTTAGACGATTTTAGTGCTGAAGCAACACTTCAGCAGTTTCTTCTTTTAAACTTGGTAGTCAGGATTATGCCAAAGATGTTGACAAGTTCGCTTTTAGTGATCCAGAAATAAGGCAAGCCATTAACATTTTCTTTGTATCTGTTTATTCCTGACCATGTTATCTGTTTAAATGTAATACACACTTAATGTGTCTCATGCTGGGTCAATAACTCACCCCAAGCTGCAATAACAAAATATGTGCTAGCTTTGTGGCATATGCTAGCTGGGCTTTTTGTTTACTCTCAAGAAAAAAACTAGCAGCTGCCACCCCTAGTGTCTGGAAGCCTGTTTAGTTTGGGCCTAATTATAGTCCACTGTCCCGCAGTGCGGTGGGAAAGAGGATACTGGCATTGCATGGAGTCACTGAAAGAGCTAAATATACCGCCAAGGCTAATCCACCGCTAGTTTTACACAGCTGTATTGTGACAATCTTACATACTTCACATAAGATGTTGCTGCCATTAGCCTGGAAGAAGTCACGTGGAAGAAGCACATGGCTTTGACTGAACTTGATCTTTGTTAATGAAGCTGTCCATACCTTATGTTTATTTTTCTGTGGATAGAATAGCGTAGAATAAATGTATTAAGTTACTAGTTATTAGTTTTTAGCAGAACGAGATACATAGTATAATATATTTAGATTTTATAAATAAAAATATATAACATATAATCAAATAAATTACATTTAGTGTTTTTATACATTTTAAAATATAAAATAATGACAATATAAATATATATTTTTAAATTAAATATAGAAACAATGGGTTTAGATTAAATATTTAATTATGTATTATACATTTTAATCACAAATATTTACATTTATAATGAACCAAAACCCTAGGGCAGAATGTGTTGTTTTTGTTTGTGGCACTCGTTTTTACCTGGCCCACTGTTACTATGTCTCAGCACTTCTCTGTGTTAGAGAGGACAGGTGCAGTGGACTGGAATACCCCCGTTGAGTGAGTGCTGTTGTCCGGCATCATGCTCCCTTCATTGCCAGTGTGTGCGTGTGTGTGTGTGTGTGTGTGTGTGTGTGAGAGAGAGAGAGAGTGAGTGTGTTGTCTTTCAACTTCGCTCAAACAGATTCTTGTCCAAATGCACAGCTTCCTTTTCTGACTTATATATTTATAGCCCACACTGTATACTCTGTTTCCCATTTCATAATGGATGTCATGTTGTAAATAACTTCTTGTGTGTTTAAAGTGTATTAATAGATTTGTTTGGTTATTGGAAAGTCAAAGAAAGTTTGTGTGTGTGTTTGTGTGTGTGTGTGTGTGTGTGTGTGTGTGTGTGTGTGTGTGTGTGTGTTTGTGTGTGTGTGTGTGTGTGTGTGTGTGTGTTTGTGTTTGTGTTTGTGTGTGTGTGTGTGTGTGTGAGAGAGAGAGGTCCACCCCTAAGCATCTCATATTAAATTATTTGCTTTTATATTTCCTTTTACAGTAAGTGAAATCATTGTAAGAGACTTGTTCGAAACTCCAGATTCAGGGAGTGCCAACAGTCTGCTATAACTCCACTCATGGACAGAGTGTCCCACCGATTAGAAGATCATTGGAAATGGTGCATCTTGCATAGGACTTCAGTACAGCTACTGAACTGATAATCAGAGAACTGGATGGACATCTCATTATAATTGTTTTGGTCTCAGCATCTTGCATTACTGCACATGTAGAAATGATTTTCTATAAGCAATACCATGTACACAACGTTTTCAGCCTAACAGAGGATGCATTCAATTAAGGATTTTATTTTATTTTTTTATCAAACGTGAATGTAAAATATTGACCAGTCAGTTTTTGATTCAATATGTGCCTTAACCAGACAGGCCTTTTTATTCTCCTTTTGGAATAATCTGTCTTCAGTTTTCTCCTTTTGATTGTAAATGTAAAATCTATTCTTGGAATTTATGATAATCATAGGAAGCTTCGAATAAATTATTAAGACTAAATATGCAGCATTGAGCATATAAAGCGCAATCCCATGTTTGAATCTGTTAAGAGTTCACTGTAAAGAACCTTAGCATTTCAGTATAATTTCTCATGCTTTTACAAATGCTTGAAATGTCTTTGTATTTATGAATTTTTACTGAACATAAAAAGACATTTTGTGACAGTCTTCATAGACTCGTATTTTTTTCTTTTATAAAATAAATGAATTGAATGAATTTGAATTCATGTGCTTATAGTTAAAATATTGTCTATAATTTTTGTGCAGTGCTCTAAACAAGTAGCCTACCATAGGCTATAACAGGTATTACAGGTGCTATTTTAGTACCAAAACCTGTTATTTAATCAACAAAATAATAATAACTAGGCAGAATCTGACTCTGGTTATCATGGTTATGTTGTGTAAGGGTAATATGGCTTGTAGTCATAGGTGCTATTTATAATGTTTCATAGCCTATTTGTTTACATGGGAAGCCCCGCCTATTGTCACATAATCACCGGAAGTTCGCCAAATGACGTCAGAGGCAGCGGAAACAGGTATGAGGGACAGAAAATGCTAGAAACAGTCAGAGAAACAGGTTTAAACCTGATATTTCACAGTCTGATTTAAGCCAAGCAGATACCAGACTGATCGTCGAGCATGATGTGACGGTTTTAAAGACCCGTCTGATGGGTTTCTGATGCTGTGTGTCGTGTTTTAATCATTGCGTAGCTGAAGCAGGTTAGCTTTCATGCTAATGTAAAATAACCATATGTTCTGGAAACACAAGCATTTATTTGACGAATTATAAGAATTGAACTGTATTCGCCGTAATGAGGTTTAAACACAGTACATAGCGATATATTGTCTTTTCGAGTTTGATTAGAGTCTCTTGCATGTAAACCGAAAAGGACACGTAGCGTTAGATACAACAAGAGCTGACACACCAGAGCAGTGCCTGTATTTATATATAAACAGCTTTTCTGTTTGGCCTTCTGAAACAGATCCTGATATTTATTTGTATTTAAGAGGAGTTTGCATTTGACTGTGGAGAACCTGTTGTCATTATAAAAGGACACCTGGTTTCTTCTGGACTGGGATTGGTAACGTTAGAGCAGATTCCGTCAACATCCAGAAGAGGAAAACTGACAATTATCCCTATAAAGTCGACGCTGAGAAACCGTCAGGATGCCTCTGCTGTTTCTGGAGAGGTTCCCCTGGCCCAGTTTACAGACATACACAGCCCTGAGCACAGTTCTGCTGGCCGGGAGCATCTTAAGTGCCTACAGCACAGTCAGAGACTCAGAGTACTCCTCTGCACTGCCAGAGGACTCACACAGCACATCTGAGGAGGAGATCAAGCTGGATCAGCTGGACAGCTTTGGCAACGTGGCCACTAATGTGCTACTGTATCTCATCACGGACAGTCTCTTCGTCTGGGTATGTGAGACTTGAATGTTGTAGTTTCAGAACCCACAAGGGTTGGTCCGTGACTTTTTTTTTCTTAAAGAAGCTGTCATGTTCCCGCAGGTGATGGTGAACACAGCATGCTGCATCCTCATGTTAGTAGCTAAAGTGATCCAGTGCATCGTGTTTGGACCGCTGAGAGTCAGTGAGAAACAGGTAACGTTAGGAGTCATTTATGAGGAGCACGCTGTGGCAAATGACCATAAATCATCCAACTGTAATATAAAAAGGCAATATATATTTTTTTAATTTAAGGCAGTGTTTATATTTTTAATAACAGGCAATATATGTTTAATATATGTATGATTATAAGGCAATAAAATACAGTCTGTGTTTGCTGCAACATTTAAAGGGGTCATATGATGTGATTTCAAGTTTTCCTTTCTCTTTGGAGTGTTACAAGCTGACTGTGCATAGATAAGATCCCTGAAGTTGCAAAGACTAAAGTCTCAAAACCAAAGAGATATTCTTTATCAAAGTTAAGACTCTGCCACGCCCCCCTAAAACGGCTCGTTCTAACACGCCCCCACATATCTACCTCACTATGTGAAAATATTTGAATAATGCCGCCCAAACGTTCATGCAAAGAAAGAAGGCGTGGTTTCAGTAAACGCAGTTAGTGTTGAAGCAGCCATGTCAAGGAGACGCTGTGTGTTTCTAGGCGAAAGCAAAAGCAAAAGCACTTTATTTGGCCTGCCGGAAGTAGATGCATTTAGGAATCTTTAAGATCACTTACAACAGAACAGCAATGCATTTTATGGACGACCGTTTCGTGAACCTAGGAGAGGAGATAATTCTGACTTTGCTATGACAATCTGGCGCTTCTGAATCAGCTACTGTTTTGCTATTAGTTTAAGTATTTGCTATTGACTGTTCAAATGCAGAGTTTTGCGCATCATGTCTGTGTGTGTGTGAGAGAGAGAGAGAGACAGGGTCACATCACAGTGGAGTCAGCTGTCTTAACCGTGGCTTGTGTACTGCAAACACATATTCATCACTGTGTCTGTCACGAGACTCTGTTCCCCTTTCAGGCTCTGTCTTTACATTTATTTTGAAAGATGAAGCTCGCGATTATGGTAAGGGGCGTTACATTTCCGACGAGTGCTTGCGGTGTTCAGCCAATCACAATGCACTGGGTCAGCTGGCCAATCAGAGCAGACTGCACTTGTCGGAAGGAGGGACTTTGTAGAAAACGAAGCGTTTGAGAGAGGCGGGGCATAGAGGACCTACAATAATGTACAGTATTTGAAAAATAATGTGTTTTTTGAACATTAAAGCATGTCAACATATTCTGTTACACCAAATACACAAAATAATGATCTTTAAAAAAGCATCATATGACCCCTTTAAATGAGAAAAACTATAATATTATTGACATCACAACATATTTTTGACAACTCCAAAAGGTATTTTGTCAGTTCCTTATAGATACATATAGGGCGAATTCCAAACGGACGTTAGCATCCCTATGCCCTACTCCCTTCGAAGGGCAGAGCCCTTGAAGTGTGTTCTTTGAAGGGTGTAGGGCAGGGATCCTCAAATCTGGCCCACGAGATCCACTTTCCTGCAGAGTTTAGCTCTAACCCTAATCAAAAGTGTGACGTGACATGTGGCCAACCATGGTGACTCTGCATTAGTGAATTAGTGCTCTGCATTTAACCCATCCAAAGTGCACACACACAGCAGTGAACACACACACACCGTGAACACACACCACAACGCTGCGCGTGCGTGCAGCATTCAGTACTCCATCAGTTGTTGCAAATATGTATTATTATTTTATTCAAATATTGTCTAATTGTGTCTTATTTACTATTAAACGTTTTCTAACTAAACTTGCTTACACTACCGTTATAAATCATATTTCTATCACTGACGAAAAATGTTGTCTTACATTAAAATTGATTAAAATATTCTATTTATGTTTGTATGTGAACTCAAAATCAACCCCAACTTTGCTTTAAAAAGCATCACAAGATCTCCTAACCGAAGATCACATGATCACAAACGGAAATCACTTCCGTGAAGTGACCATCGCGTGTTCCCTTCGCTAAAGGACTTCTGGAAGGGCCCTTCGTGAAGGGATTCAGTTGTTCACTTTCGTTTGGAACGTCCCTACAAATGGCGTCCCCTTCCCGAAGTGCCCTTGAAGGCCGCAAAAAAGCCATTTGGAATTTGCGCTTAGTCAGTCTTCCATTATCATGGTGTTTGTTTGTTTTTTTGTTTTTTGAAGTTGAAGTTGAAGTTGAATTTGTCTTTTTTAATGGTTGAATGACATGTTTTTTCAGTGACCGATGGCAATACCAATATCAGGACAAAAGTTTATGCAAAAAAAAGTTTGCTATTCATATATATATGTTGATAGATTTTGAAACTGAAAGGGGAAAGATAATTCAAATCAGTGATGTACTTACTGGCAGAAGACTATAATCTTTAGACACACACACAAAGTATGACCGGTCAAAAAGTTGGGGTTGGTAAGATTTATTTATTTATTTTTATTTTTTTTAAAGAGCAAAAAAAAGTTTGCTATTCATATAGTGTTGTTGATAGATTTTGAAACTGAAAGGGGAAAGATAATTCAAATCAGTGATGTACTTACTGGCAGAAGACTATAATCTTTAGACACACACACAAAGTATGACCGGTCAAAAAGTTGGGGTTGGTAAGATTTATTTATTTATTTATTTATTTATTTTTTTTTTAACATCATAAAACTACTCCACACGGCTCCAGGCTGTCAATAAAGGCCTTCTGAAGCGAAACGATGCGTTAGTGTAAGAAAAATATAAAATGTATATACTGTAATCTCCAGCTTCCGGTCGCTCAAGCAGCCTCCTCCATCTCGCAGAGTTTCTGGTCGGTATACTCCGGTTCAAACATATATGGCTGGGCAAAAAACTCATTCTCCTCTTGCCTTATATCGAAATCCTCTCACACTTTTGCTTTCTCCTCTGTGCTTCCGCGTTGTCGGCTTGAGCGACCGGAAGCTGGAGATTACAGTTTATAAAATGTTTTTATTACCTCAACACTCACATTAGTATACTACTCTTCAGTATATCATTAAACAGGATATTCCTTGAATCATAAATAAATGGGAAAACAAATCATTTTTTAAAAGAAAATACTTCATTTATCAAAACAATATAATATAGACAGATTGAACTGTTCCCTTATAATAATCAAATTGACCCCTGTACACTGTTGACCCTTTAACTAACCCTTAAACCTACCCATACCACCAAACCTGTCCCTAACCTTACCCGTATCACGCCTCAATAGCAGCAGAAGTGTTGTGCATTAACACAAGCTTTTAATCATTATATAACATCTGTTAAAATCATTTGTAGATTTTCAATAAGTGCTTGATCATATGGAATTGAAAGTTTAATGACATTTGTAAGCATTTGAACTTAGATAAAATAATGATTTGTTTGAACATTATCTAATGTTTAATAAGTGTATCAACAAGCACATTATCTCACATTTCTAACTCTTTGAATATATATTAACTAATGATCAATTAAGCATTATATAATGTTTGTTAATGATTTATTAATGAAAGTTATTATAAAGTGTTACCAAAAAATCTTACCGACCCCAAACTTTTGAACACTAGTGTACATTTTTACATGTTCCTGCAGATTTTAAATATGCATCATATAATTGGTATATGACATGCATTGTTTTCCACT